TTTCATTGCTTAGTTTTTTTGTCTGTGTGAAAGAAAGACAAATGCTATCTCGAGGCTGAAATACTAAAAAATGAAATAAGCGACCCCTTCAAATAAGTGTTTCCCCCTCAAATAAGCATAAATACAACAAATAGGCATCCCCATTGCCTGCCACTGAAAATCAATTAACCACCCCCTCCTGGGATTATTTCCAGATCCGCAGAAATCAAATCATTTGTCACCTTATGATGTAATATAATTATTATATTACATGTACCTGATCACAAACATGTTCACGTACCCATAATACACATCCCATACGTAGCCAAAATTGGGAATCAGTGTTTCTAAAGGCCTTTATTCCAAACAGTCTGAGCAGTACACAATAATGACATCATTTGTTGCCTTGTATCATGGTCAGTGATTTTTTTGTTGTTTGTTGTATGTAGTACACTACTGAAAGTATGTGAAAATCTTTTAGTGACACCATGAAACTATACACATATTGCAGATTAGAAATTGCACGCGATGAATTCTGTTCCAAAATGTAGACGTGTTGGGATCTTAATCTTCTAGGAAGGGACCCACTGTTGTTTGATTCAATATTATAAGTGACGACCTCCCTAAGATGACCTGACTCAATCTTTGCATTCTTGGTGGTCATCAACAATAGTTTAGACTGAATTGAAATGAGAAAGAGGAGACACTTAATGGAAGAAAATGTTAGCTAGTTAAAAGCAGAAAAGAAACCCTTGAGCTTTATACAGCAAGGAAAGGGGAAAGTTTATTGTCATTTTTGATTCTTTTAAGTCGCATGCAAGCAGATGGATCACTGCCTAACTAATGACATTATCAACAGAATTTCCCGCAGCATTACTATCTTTTAGATACCCTAGTCTACTAATAAAAGATTTTTTGAATCCACTAACAGCATCTGTTCTAGATCTCTTTTATTTTGATTCTGTAAAATTCACCTATACTGTAATATGATTTTGATTTTTCTATACCAGGTCACTATTAATTTGTTATTTCTAGATGGTGAGAAGAACTGTCGAGACTTTTTATTAACAATTTGAAACATGGAGCATTATTCCATCACAAAATTGAGAGCTTACTTAAAATATGAAGATGGATTAGCAGTTTTGGATCTAAAAGAGAAAGGACTATCCAGGGTACCTGATGCAGTCACTGAACTGAGTGAAATAGAGAATCTTGTGCTGAAAAAAAATAACTTGATTAAATTACCAGCAAGTATCAGCGAGCTGAAAAATCTTATTGTGCTCGAATTGAATAGCAACAATATCACTGAACTACCTACTGAGATTGGTGACCTCAGGGAGCTGAGGAGGCTGTGGATGAGCAACAACCAGTTGGTTGGTTTACCTACCAGTATACACAGGCTGACCAAGCTTGAAAGGCTGTACTTGAGTGGAAATAAACTAACTGAACTACCTGCTGAGATCGGTGACCTCAGGGAGCTGAGGTGGCTGCTGGTGAGTAACAACCAGTTGGTTGGTTTACCTACCAGTATACAGAGGCTGACCAAGCTTGAACAGCTGGACTTGTATGGAAATAAACTAACTGAACTACCTGCTGAGATTGGTGACCTCAGGGAGCTGAGGTGGCTGTTGATGAGCAACAACCAGTTGGTTGGTTTACCTACCAGTATACAGAGGCTGACCAAGCTTCAAGGGCTGTTCTTGGATGGAAATAAACTAACTGAACTACCTGCTGAGATTGGTGACCTCAGGGAGCTGAGGTGGCTGTTGATGAGCAACAACCAGTTGGTTGGTTTACCTACCAGTATACAGAGGCTGACCAAGTTTCTAAGGCTGGACTTGAGTGGAAATAAACTAACTGAACTACCTGCTGAGATTGGTGACCTCAGGGAGCTGAGGCAACTGAGTGTGAGTCATAATCCTTTAACTGTTGACGCAATAAGACGTGCATTGAAGTTAAGAAAGAAAGGAGTACTTGTAGATGGTGTTGCAGGTAAGCACGGCGGATATTGTAGCTATTTGGAAGTTCGAAAAAAACCGAGATAAAATTCCACTATTTGCCTGGGAAAGGGAAGTCATTTTTTTTTCAGTTATCGGGGGTTTCGCGAATTTAAGGGTTTGATAAATCATTAAGATATGCTACAAACTGTACTTTCAAAATCAATGGTAAATTTCTTGTACGTATTAATTCATTTTAATTAATTCGTCTGTTTTAAAGTTTCAAATCAGCTGTGAAAAATAGCTATTATCCAGGGTGCACCAAACATTGTAAGCTATTGTATTCCATCACACCCTTACTAAATGACTCACCGGTTGCGCTTGGAAGTAGTGGGCGAAAGAGAGAACGGGCTCGCGTGTCTCCTTCTCGCGCGCCCGTTTTTTCTTGTGCCCACTACTTCCAAGCGCCTGCTATGCAGGCTATACGGTTAGTGTTTTCACGAACTTTCAGAGGGAGAGAAGCGATGACCGGAAATGCGTCTGCTGTTCGCAGACTAAAGAAATACGAGCTGACCCCTAAAAACGCCTGCGGGGGTTACCTGCGAACAGCAGACGTCTTTCCGGTCGTCGCTTCTTTATTTTTCGGAGGGACAGAAGCGACGACCGGAAATACGTCTGCTGTTCGCAGGCTAGTATTTCTTCGGAGAGGGAAGAAATACGAGCTCCCCTAGAAACGCCTGCGGGGGAGGCTATGTTTTCACTGTGGTCGATTTGCTGCTGAGCGGAACACTTTTTCTGGGTGATTGTTGACATACCGACGATTACTAGCTGTTTTCACTTTTAAATTTAGCTCGGAAGAACTCAGAGGAATCAAATTTAAAAAGCGCGCCACATTAAAAAATGTTAAGAGACGAAGCGCTTTGAATGTGTTTTCGTTTAATGCTTCTCGCTATTTTATTAATGCAGTTGAATAGTGTCTCTAAAGAGTAAGAGGATAGGAAGTAATGTTGTAATCCTGTTTCAAAATGTAACAGCAAAACAGCGGTAATTGCCGTAAGTAGCGTGGGTTTAACCCGCCGTGCCAAATCGATGAAACTCTTTAGTCGAAATAATGGCTTCTATTCGATTTTAAACGATATTAATTAAGCGACTGATATCGGTAATCGATAAATATCGAAGATCGAAAGAGTTGTGAGTATCAATTTTTATCAAATGTCATCAATTTTCATCCATTTTTTCGATTGTCAATTGCAATCCTTTAATAATGATTTCAGATACGTTTGCGCTACCACTGGCTACGAATTAGTAATTGAAAGTCTTACCTATTAATTGTCGATGTATTCATCGAGGACAAAAGATTCACCCGTCCTTATTGTAAATGGGCTCTGGTGGTAGCCCTTCACTACAGCCTGTAGTAATATAAAATGTTCATTTCGCCGATCATTTGGCAGGCGTCTGTCACAACGCGCAACGCGATTCTGATTTATCAGGACAAGCTGCACCATCTCGCGTGGTTGTCTAACTTTTCGTAATTTTTCGGTCATAAAGCCGAAAAAACAGTGAGCATGTTTAACTCGCTAACACAAGACGAGGTGTTTTAACTGTATTTCTGGACTTTTCTGGCTTTATCTAGCTAAAATTAAGTCAGTGCCATTTTTCACTTAATGGATGAAGTAATATTGTCATGTTATAATTATGGAAGATTGGCCGCTGAACACAATATGTATTAAATAAAAAATTATTGTTACAGAACAATAAGCAGACCATTAAGGATGAAGAGTTTTGAGCTGTTCAGGAAGCTCGCTGTTCAAGATTCAAATTAGAAAAGGTGGCTTGGTTTGCTGTGTTTAAGCCTGAGAAATTACTTCTCGTGATCTAAACAATAACTGGTCTGAAATTTGCTATACCATTTAACAAAATTATAAGTCACACTTAGCTTCAGTTAGGTTTGTTTTGCAAGTTAGTTTTTGTTGTTTTCCCTGCAGCATGCACGGCCATAGTGTAAGTGAATTGTCTAACCCACCCCCCCACCCCCCACATGGACGGCCAGGTGTCTTGCCTTTCACCTAAAACCTGCGCAGCACGTAGCCTTTAGGATCACTAAGGCAATCAAACCTTCCCACCACTTCAAAAGCATAATGTTTGGAGAGGAGAAAACAAACTACAGAATAATTTAAACAAAAGACTTAAATTATTTAGCGTAATGACTCGATTTAGTGCCCAGAGCCCGTATATACTTATGGTTTCTCAAATGAGGGCGCTTATTCGAAACAGGGCGTCTATTTCTTTTATGTTGCGGAGCAAAACTCTCGAACGATGAAACAGGGGCAGGGCACCTTATGAGCAAGAATTAGCAAAGGTCTACGATCATGGCTCCTTCTGGCAATCCCGAAGCTTGTTCCTGAAGGCGAATTCTCGTCTGCTATACGAGGTCATTATGCCTACAAAGCGACATGGTCTGCAACGAAAGACTCAAATTCCAAGCTATCAGTGACATTCAACGCTTTAACCTTCCAATCGTTCCGACAAATAATAGCAACACTACCACCGATCGGCGAGCCAGGAAGTGACTAAGATGGGGTCTATAATATCGCCACAGTATGGACTATAATGAGGTCGGGGTTTTGAGAGGCCAGCGGCACATACCCAACAAAAATTAACCCAATTAACCCCCCCCCCCCCCGGTTGGAACAAGGGTGCTTAGTCAATAGGGGTGCTTATTAGAAAGTCAGCGCTTATTTTTACGCACCATTCATGGTGTTGTGAACATGCATGGAGACTTGACGTAAGCGCAGTAAAAAAGACAAGTTTAAAATAGCAGGTAGATTGTTTAACAGTATCAAAAATAACCAACATTTAATTTTATCTGTCACATTTGAAATTCAGTAAAATTATGTTTACCATAGATTTGTTTTAATAATAACTTAAGAGACCGTACTGAAAGATTACAAGAACGGCAATAAATACTAGTATTGATGTAGCTCCCCATGACCCTCCTAGGTCCGTCAAGTAAAATAGAAGCCAATGAACTACGCAACCTGTAAGACATTACTTACCTTTAATAAGCATCCTTCTTTTTCACCAGCTCCTTTAGAAATAGAAGCACGTGGAGAAAAAGCACAGCTCGCTTATCAAAGTGCTCTTAAAGATGGAGCTGTTAACGTTTACCGTGGTCGAGTATTGCTTATTGGACAGGATCGAGCCGGAAAAACAAGTTTGAAGAAGTCTCTCATTGGTCTACCATTTAATTCAAAAGAAAAAAGCACGGATGGAATTGAAGTGGATCCTTCAAAATTTCAGTTGGACGTTGGTGAAGTCAGGAATTGGCAACCTATTGATGAGAGAAAACAAGGATTGTTGGGATGTTCGAGAGATGTGGCACAGATGGTGGTGGAAAAGATGTATGATATTCCAGTTAGCCGTGCCTGGGTTCAGGAAGAGGAAAGAGGTGAAGCCATTCTTCAAAGTGATGATAACAAGAATAGGAAACAGATTGATACTTATGGAGAAAAGGAGGAAGTTTCTCTTGTGAACCAGGTTTGTCTTTGTTGGTTTTGAAGTGTGATGTTTTTTCGCGAATCCATCGTAACTGCAAACAGTAGTTATTATAAATTGATTATCGCCTTCTTCATGGGTTAGGTTATAGTGACTTCCCTGCCCTTTGCCACGGTCTCTGTATGGAAAATATGTAGCAACTGCCAGATCGTTTTCTAGCTCGTTTTCCAATGCTGGTTAAAAATTTAAACCGGGGCTTTTATACTTGTAAGTTTAGTTCCGAGAGTAGAATGATACTACTATCAACCATTTAGTTATATTTCCATGATTGTACCCATCTACACGTAAGCTTAGCCTTTGGGTTAGTAGTGCGTGTGCAAACCAAAATGAGTTTAGCCATATCTTTATTTATACTTTTAAGTGTTAATTAGGCCTTGAGCATAGCTTTCCCTTATTTTGTTGTTGGTTTTAATCACAATTTCGCGAATCTTTTTTTTTCAGGCCTCTTTACGCAACTGCATAAATTGCGTTCACTGCGACGATCATTTCTTCATTTTCATTTTAATTTCGCTATTGTTTTCTTTTTTTATGAGAGAAGCAAAGTCAAGGGGCCGGGAGGACTCAATCAAACACCATTTTCTTATATGTTCTTAAACTCACTGTTCCTCAAAAGATGCAAGAGCGTATTAATGTTTTGGATGCCTCATGCCTCCAATATTCGTGCCTCAATGTTTGAGCTTATTAAGCATTTTCTGTCATCAAAAACAACTTTAAATGGCTGAATAATCAAATCGGAGGGTGAAGAGGAATAATTAGGTGTTCATTATGCCATTATACCAGCTCGAAAATTTTCCTTGTTCCATTATTCCAGAAAAAAAAAGAACAAATTATTCCGTAGAAAACATCTGGTTATTCCATTATTCCGCGCCACAAAATGGCATTATTCCATTCTTACAACAAAAAAATGCCGTTATTCTTACGCCATTATTCCTCTTCACCCCCAAAAGTCGAAGCAACCGTGTTAAGTCTTTCAGAATCAGAATCAACAGTTATTTTTTTCATACTCTGCTACAGGTTGGTGATCCAAACGAAGACAGTGTTAGTGAACCCACATTAACAGGACCTGATCATGAGTTAGTGGTTGATACTACTTCACCTCCAGAGGAGGTCAAGGAACGAGCTGAAAATTTGATAAAGTACATGAAAGGTGATGATGTTAAGCCTGAAGAATCTGTTGTCAGTATTGAACTGTGGGATTTTGCTGGACAACACCTGTATTATGCATCCCATCCTGTATTTTTATCATCACGTGCGCTGTACATCTTAGTGTGTAACCTCAGCAAGTCACTGTATGACACAGCCAAGCCCTGTGTGAGGCAAGGGTCTTGTGATGTTGATTTGGAAAACCCAAATGGAGAAACAAATCTTGAGAACTTGTTGTCTTGGCTGTCCACAGTGCATAGCGTCGCGCAAATGAGAAGAAAAACCTGTGATGACGTAGAAAAAGAGGTGTCTCATTTGCGCCCCCCAGTGATCATTGTAGGAACCCATGCAGACAAACCATTTGAAGACATTGCAACAATGAAAAAAGAAATCCAGAACGCAATTGCTGGTAAGGACTATGAAGGGCATGTCGTGCGGCCTATCTTCAGCATTGACAACACTGCAAAATTAACTCAAAGATGGATCAAGACAATGGTTTTCGGGAAAGATGAAAACATTGATGAGATCCAAGCTTTGCAAATCAAAATTATGGAAGTGCTAAGACAGGAGCCTTACATTGGGGAAAGGAGACCTGTGAGGTAAATAATGGTTATACCAGAATGTTCAGAATCCATTAAAGTAAATATTAAATAATTTCCATGTCAAAAGTTGAGCCGTGAACGCACTGAGATTACGTTTTACGTGTATGGCGTTTGTTTGCGCCAGTCCTTGTAAAATTTTTTCTTTGATATGTAAATGTGTTTCAGCTGTCATAAGTAACTCATTGACTGTGACGTTACATAAAAGCGTGACCGCAAAACATCAAAAGGCTGGTTCGTTGTATAGTCCTTAACTTTGGATAAAAAAATTATTGCGAGAACAGAAAATATTCATTGATTCCTGTATGAGCCACCTGGCGGTCATAAGAAATGAATATCTCGTTGATTGAAACAAGTTAACCATGAAAAGCAGTTTTGACTGGCCTTAAAGAATATTCTACCCTGAAGGGTTTGATAATGTTATTACGAATTGACCAAAAAGCACTGTGTACATTTCAATTGTCGTTTTAAAAAGGTAAAGTAAAGTGGATCACACACAGATATTTCTCCAGTGGATACAGTTATCCACCTTTCTCACAACTGGATCCTGTACTTTAATTAGTCAATACAGGTATACTGTGTAGTGATTGACATGGATGTTTAAACGAGCTCCATCAGTTTTCTCTTTGGTTTTGTAAACTAGGTGGCTGAACTTTGAGAAAGTCATCGACGCTTTGCTTTCCAAGCCAGTTTATTACCTGAGTATAAAGAAGCTACGGACCCATGCCAAGGAGAAGTGCTTCATCCATGATGAGAAAGAGTTTACCACCATGGTGAATTTCTATCATGACCTGGGGATAATTATCAAGCACCGTAGCACAGTCATCTTGAATACCCAGTGGCTGATAAACTTGTTCGGACAGCTGATCACTCTTCCAGATTTTACGAACATGGTAAGAAATGGATTTTAAACGTGTTTTAAAACTTGCAAGGTTTATTATAGTCCGGTTTCCAACCGTGCTGTAGCTAATAGAAATAATTATATCAAGTGCATTGCCCGCTGTCTTTTTGAAAATGTTAACTGTTCCTCAAATATTTGTAAACAGCAAAATCGTAGTGGATTGGGCTGCTATTTAATATTTTCCCAGTGTAAACAAGTTAGGGTAGGCGATGTAATTCTGAAATGAAATCTTGTAGCAAACCTATAACAACTGAATTAGTACTAACGCCTGGTCAGCAGTCGTCCCTGTAATCAACCCGCTATAGTGACGTCACTAAGAGTAAACATTACAACGAAACATTTTCACTGCACTTTTTTATTTGAACGTTGTAATATCCCAAGAGGATTCTTGTTTCAATTTCGATGGACATCAGGTAACGTCACGAGGTACCCGATAACAGTAAGACAACAATTTTCCCCTTTTCTAGGGTCAATGAAATTGGACAACCAAACAGACTGAAAATATATATTGTATATAGAGAGGAAGCCCGAATTTTCCCCACCCAAACTGATGCACGCGAGGAGCGAATTGCGAAAAATTTATAACACTGCTCAACCTACACAAAAAAAACGAAGAAGTTTAGCTTTTACCAAGTATTATTGTCTCCTACGCTGACCTCCTCCTAGATTACAAGTAGTCTCTTCCTCAGGAATAGTGGAGCGAGCGAATTACGCGAGCGCGCGTGAAATTTGTCAACCCTCGAGGAAGGTGACAAACGCTCCTGTATTCTATTCGTAGTCTATCCTCAGTAGTATATTAGGCGTAGAATCAGCCTTTTTTGCGGTGGAATCTTCGCTGGAATACATAAACGCCGATGACGTCATAACCTTTTGTCTTTATCTCATGAATAAAATGCGGTTGAATCTCTTTAAAGGGCTAAAAATAGCACACGACCTTATCTTACGGCCAGTTTACGTCGAGGTGGAGGACTCTAGGTAGGTGAGGTAACACAGGCCTTAAGATAAGGCCATGAGCTATTTTTAACCCTTTGGACAGGGTTTCCAGTTATTTCTTGGTAGAAGAAGGTCTTGCTTTTTGATTGGTTGACGACTACATGTAAGAACTAGGAAAAGTATTCATTGGTTGATTCAGGTTGTCGAAGGAATAAGCGCTAACTCGCCTGTGACGTAGTTATGCAAGTTACATTTCATACCGCTTTCATTGTTCAATAAGTTGTTCAGGTTTACTATGCGCTCAAATCGTTAAGTACGAAGCCACACTAGCCATTTCTATCACGAAAAACATTTTTCCACTTTCCCACATCCCTTTTTCCTTTTCCACATTTCATTGTTTCACATTGTTTCCTTCCACCACAACAACCACGTTTCTATTGTTTTCTCTAAGCGGGAGGTTATGGTGAACGTTGTAAAGAAAAGAAAACTTAACTTCGTAAATCTTCTAACGTGATAGGAAAGAATTGTGTGACGAACCAAACGGAAGGCTGCTTAGAGGGCTATCCTCTTTACTTTTATTCACACAGTAGTACTTGCTAGGCAGACTACGTAACTTTTTCTTTATATGCGTCCCCACACAAAAAAGGAAAACTCTAGATCTTTTTCATTGTTTGTTAATTAAAATATTAAATAAAATAACCAACATTTTACAAGTGCATTAATTAACTGGCTCAAAATTCTCCCAAAATATCACTTTTTAAAGAAAACTTTGTTATTGTCCTTCACCTTATTCCGTCTTAGGTTCCTAAGGTTGCCAAGTACTGGAAGGAAGTCAAAGAAAGCGGTGTTCTCTCAATGGAACTGGTTGATCTTGTGTTTTCCAACTTTCTCCTGAAGGGTGTTGCCAGGAAAGACATTCTTGATTTGATGGAACAATTTGGATTGATTGCAAAATTTTCATCTTCAAAGATAGGTGAAAAGTATTTTGTTCCATGTCAACTCAATGTGTCACCTGATTCTCTTTGTTCCATGGTGCCCTCAAGGCTGGACCCTTGTCCCCTGTTTGTTTACTTTTTCAGCGGTTCTGTTCCCCATGGTCTGTTCACTCGGCTTCTTTCTCGATCTGTCCATTGGTGTTCAGAGGCTGGTCCAACTCAATCCCCTACCCTGTACCAAAATGGAGCGTGGTTTGTTATTGGGAAGCAAACTTTTCATGATTTTGTTCTTATTTGTAAGAAGCAATTTATTAAGTTTTTTATCAAGCAAAGAAACCACCCTCAGCAGATCTCTGTGGAAAGCACAAGTGAGGTGGCGGTGCAGGTTCGTGAGTTTGTGGAGGCAACTTTGCAAACTTTGTCACGTGATCTCTATAAAGGTGGATTGCAGTATCAGATTCGGGTCGCCTGTCCGTATTGTCAGCGGGAAAAATGCTCAAGGCATAATCAGATTGCATGTTCTCATGAAGATTGTCTTCACCTCCTTGAGTTAAAACAAGGTAATCCTCTGATTTGCAAAAAGAAACCTGCAGAGGAGATACTCACAGTTACAGGGCAGCAAAAGTGGTTCTCACAAATAGAACGTAAGGTAGGTAGCAGTAAAATTCGATCTCTAGCAGTGCTCTTAGCATATTACATATAGCAAGCGAATACACATACTACTAATAAAAACTTATGTCCTTAAAAGGTAGCCATTGATTTAAACTAAAAAGGCTTCAACAAAGTCTATGCATGTACTTTGTTAGGTTGTAGTATGATATACAACGTATGCCTTCATTTATCCTACCGCAAGCTTCTCTGCAGTGTAATAGAAGGCTTTGTTGCTGTCAACTTAACGAACATTGGTTCTTAATATCATGTAAGTTGATAAGGTCAATTGGCTACCATGTATTACTAATTGTTATTGGCCTATAGGCATTAACCAGTAGTATCTAACTTTTTCCCAAGTCTTTTTTAACGTGCTGTTTGCTTTGTGGTTGAGCAATAAGTTTATAGCATCTAACGTGTTAACATGTTTTGCAAACTTTCATTCAAAAAGGTAGAAACCCCCAGATGTAAAATTTACATTTTATAATATGCAATTTTGGTTGCTATGCAGGAAGCGTGTACTTTATCATCATCACCTGATTCTGAACAAGCTCGTCCAGAGCGTCTGGTACTGAAAGTTACACTTCTCGCTAATGAGTGGGGGTCGTCTAAGGGTGGCTTGTCAACAATGAACAGAACTCTTGCCATACATTTGGCAAAAGACGCAAACGTAGAAGTCACCATTCTTGTACCTGAATTTGAGTGTGGCGAAGAGGATAAGAGAGCTGCCAAACGTCACAACATTTCCATCCGGGAAGCAGGGCGCCTTCCTGCCTTCAGTGATCCTCTTGACTGGTTGAGTTTTCCACCAGATGACCTTGACATCCAGGTTGTGATCGGCCATGGAGCAAAGCTTGGTAGACAAGCGCAAATTGTCAGAAAGTCTCATTGCTGCAAGTGGGTGCAGGTTGTTCACACTGAGCCTGAAGAGCTTGCGATGCATAAGAAATATCCAAGCGCCATTGCGAAGGGAGAAGAGAAGAACAGAGCGGAAGTTGACCTTTGTCAAATTGCAGATCTCGTTGTAGCCGTTGGACCCAAGTTAAAAGAAGCGATCGCGTGCAAGTTGCGTTCATCTCATCGAGACATCTTTCAATTAATACCAGGTTCCTTTGCAGAGTTTCCAGATATTGAACATGCTGCACAAGATGGTGTAAATTTCAGAGTATTGACCTTTGGTCGCGGTGATTTGGAAGACTTCAGTCTTAAAGGATACGACATTGCCGCTCAATCCATAGTTGAATTGAAGGACAGTACTTATAGCCTTGTTTTCGTTGGTGCTTCTGATGGAAAGCAGGATGAAGTCGCAGAACTCTTACTCCAAACTCGCATTTCAAAGAACCAGCTGATTGTGAGATCATTTGTGAAAGACAAAAAAAAGATTGAGAGAGTTGTTTTGTGAAGTTGATCTGGCCATCATGCCATCAAGAACTGAGGGGTTTGGTTTGACAGCATTAGAGGCCATGTCAGCTGGTCTTCCCATTCTAGTTAGTGGAAACTCCGGATATGGAAAAGCACTGCGTGGTCTTCCAATGGGTGAGTCTTTTGTGATCGACTCTGATGACCCCAAGGAATGGGCAAAGGCAATTGCAGCCATCCGTCAAAAATCAAGGACACAGCGGCTTGAGGAAATCCAAAGACTGCGAAGAAGTTATGATGAAAGATTCTCTTGGGACAGACAGTGCCAGGCCCTTGTTGCCAGAATGTGGAAGATGGTCTATGGTAAGAAATCAAATTTACCGATAGAAAAGTAACGATAATAATAATAATTAGTACTTGAAAATGTTAAAATGCATATCTTATCAGGATTATCCTTCATTTGACCTTCTTCTTTCATCACTGTATGGCCATGGCTTCTGCAATAGCGAGTGCATAAATACATTTTTACTATGTTATGTTTCGTGGTCCACGTGCATCGCTATTGTCGTTAGCCTTTTTAACCTTAATGTTAGCATTCACACTCTCCACACTGTTCTCCATACATATCTTGTGTTACTGATGAGGAGAATTTGTTTAATAATCAAGATCTTTTTTACCGGCTTATCAATTCTATTCTTTAAAACTTTTATGTATAATTTTATAAAATGTTGGCTACACTTGAAGGAGTTAACGATAAAAGAAAATTAAAATCTATAACATTGCGATACATCAAAGTCGTCTGATTTCTATTCATATTCGGCAGCAATTTTGGGGTTCTCTTGTATATAAAAAGAAAATAACAAAAAAAGCCCAGCCAAACTTTTGGGTCATAACTTATAACAAAAAATGAATGGAAGCCTTAAAGGTTGGAATCTTCCTTTTTTTAAGTGACATTTTTTTGTTATAATCAACACTTTTTTTTAATTTACAGGTCTTGAAAAAAACAAAGAAGGTGACTTTCCACCGAACGACTGTGAAAAAGTTGCTGCAACAGGACCGATGGCAGGTAAGAGTGAGGTTATTTTCTTCTGTTGAACAAGGGTGCTTTCGATTATTCGGATGCTTTTAGCTTTTCAATGTTTAGTGTAGCATCTCCGAGTAAACTGACGTATATGTAAAATAACTGTTTCCCTCTCCCGCTTACAGTCTCCCTTGCTTGCTGGGTTGGAATCCCAGTTTATCTAGTCTTAATAGCGATGTAACTATCATAGACTGAAATATCAGTCCCTAAAGCTCCTGTCTTCCTTGCTCTTTTGTGCGTTGTTGCTCAGGGCTCCCATTGATAACAGACAGCTTTTTGCGTCTGAAGGGGCTACCCTGAGCGGTATAAATTAATAAAGGTTCTTCTTCTTCTTTTTCTTCTTGTTTCCCTTGCTCGCTGGGTTGGAATCCCAGTTTGTCTAGTTTTAACGATGATTTAACTATCATAGACTCAAATATTAGTCCTGAAAGCACCTGTCTCCCTTGCTTGGAATCCCAGTTTATCCAATTTTAATAGTAAGTTTTAACTATCATGGATTACAATATCAGTCCTGGGAGCACCTGTCTCCCATGCTTGCTGGGTTGGAATCCCAGTTTATCTAGTTTAATAATGATTTAACTATCCTAGACCGAAATATCAGTCCTGGGAGCTCCTGTCCCCCTTGCTTGCTGGGCTGGAATCCCAGTTTATCTGGTTTTAATTGTAAGTTTTAACCATCAGACACTGAAATATCAGTCCCGGGAGCTCTTGTCTCCAGTGCTTGCTGGGTTTGAATCCCAGTTTTACAGGCCAGGCCATTTAAATTCACTGCTAATTTTAAACTTTACAGGTGTTGAAAAAACCCAAGATGACCTTCCACAGAATGGTTTTGAAAAAGATGCTGCAACAGCACCGATGGCAGGTGATGTCATTGTTTGCTTTGTCAATTAAACCAAAGCCAAAATATATTTTTGCGGTAGAGTGCAGTTACTTTGTTCTTTTAAAACCACAGTAATTTTTCTGAAATTGTCGACTGTTGTAAGTTTCAGACTAGTGCACTGTGCTGCACCTGTTTTATGGAACTCGCTGCCATTAACTAAAAGAAGAAGTAGGAGCCATTTTTAAAAAGAATCTTAAAACATTTCTTTTTAGGAAAGCTTATACTTTACTAGAATAACTCTGAAGTTTAGTGCTTGAATATTTTAATTTTAATTTTGTATAGAATTTTAGACTTTTTAGTTTTTCGCATAGCATGGAATTTTTTTATTATTATTATTATCGTTATTATGAGCTTTTTAGGAACTTAATGTGAAGCGCTTTTGAATATTTTATAGTTCTAGCACCATACAAATTCTTTATCATTATCATTATCATTATCATCATCTCCTACAAAACTGGCGTGAAATAACCTCTATCTTATTTTGTCTTTTTCATCTTCCGCTTTCAGGTGAACTCATTTTCCGTACACTTCAACAAATCCTGCTGCAAGCACGCACAGAGTCCAGCAAGACTGAGCTTTCGCAGGCGTTAAAGAAGACTGCGTTGGAAAAAGGTTTTGCGATATCTGACAATCAAGGAGAGGGGAACTGCATGTTTTTTGCACTTTCAGAGCAGCTTGACCTCATCAAAGGAATTCAAATCTCCCATGATGAGTTACGCCGAACTGTTGTACAACACCTTCGGGAAAACCCCAGGCTGGTAAGTATCTTATTACCTTATTAGGGTGCACACATTTGCAGTATACGAGCATAGCTGTGGCATTTGCCCGCTACATTGTTTTAATTCCTCTTAAAGTTAAAAACAATAAGGCCCTGTCCACACGTATCCGAAATACGCGTCCACACAAAGCGTATTTGAATCTTTTTCGCCCGTCCACATAAAAACGCTAAAATGATTGAAATACGATAGCAGCCATTTACAGAGCATGCGCAGTGTTGTATTCTAAATCCTCTGTATTCGTCCATCCGCACGTCGGTTTCTAAAATCTCCACTCTTTGGACCATTTATGAAAACCTGCTTCTTCGGCGCCCGAAAATGCCGATCACGTGTAGACGGAAGGCTAAAATGGACAAATAAATCTCCGATTTAAAAAATCTATGCATCCGGATATGCGTGGACGGGGCCTCAAATTCCTGCAATTGAATGTGACGGCTTTACGGGTATGCTGCAAATGAATCCACCCTTTATGAGCAAAACATCAGCTCTGCATGAGCATCACGCTTGTTTGTACTTTGCTTCGTCGTTCACTGCACGACTGCGACGCAAAACGTCTGTATGCGACGTTTTGTGGAGGGCGCCGAACCCCCCACAGTGACTAAATGAGCGCGATAAATTTTGAGAGAACGCACATTCTTTTCCCAAGTTACTTTTCGAGTCGGAGGCATAAGTGGATACCGAGAAATTTTTTTATTTGTTTTTCTCGGCTCGATCGTCATGCTCATGTCCTATTTTATTTTTCAACTGTACGGTATTTTGCTTAACTTGAAATGTCGACCAACACCAGTTTTGTGTGAACAGGATATGACTACATACTGGTTTTAAAGTCGCAATTTCCAAACTCACATTATTTTAACAGTAAACATCCCTTCCCTCCTCTCTCTCTTTCTCTCTTACACGTGTAACGGACACCACCCTAAAACCTACTCCAACTCCCTAAAAGTGTTGGTCCCTGCCGTTCTTAACTGTTGGTTTTTTTTTTTGACATTTTTTAGGAGTAGTATAGGTCACATAGGTTAGACCCCTTTTTGTAGTCGAATCTTGTTACTGTGAAGTTACGTCGATGACATGACATCTTTATCTCAGCAATAAAATGCGGTGGAATCTCATCAAGATAACGTCACGAGCTATTTTTATGTAGTATTTAGTATATCCAATTATTCTTATATTGATGATGTAACTTGTTGGGATCTTGTCCTTATTTTGTGAGAATGATGTGGTAGATCATTCTAAATTATGTGCGTCATGTTTTTAATTATTTGGTCATGAAGACACCTCTAAACCATGACGCCTTCATTGTCCATTGCAGACAACTTAATCTGTCTTCACACTATACCGTATAGTTTTTTCGCGGGCACGAGAATCATACCGGATGGGGTTTCAGTTCACACATAAGAACGGTGATTTCGGCGCGATTTCTGTTAAACGGAGAGAAGCTGTGCTGCACCGATCTCTTAAGTGGAGAGTCACATATCGGATACGATGTTCATACTATACTGGATGGCTTTTCGTGTCGTCACCAAAGCTTATCTGGTATAGTATGATCATAGCTTTATTGTTCTGGTTCCGGTTCACTGATTCTTGGCGCGCAAAGGAGATAAAGACGTCATCGACGTTAATTCATTTCACTTTAGAAAAGACGTCTACCTGGCTCCTCCTATACTACTAAGGTCAACAAATCTCTGCTTTAATACTTTAATAGGGATACTCCTAAAACAGTGTACACTATACTAGTGCTGATACCAGTGGGGTCAGCCTTAGAGAGAACAAACAACGCGGCTGTCTAAATAAAATACCTTCTACAAAAGCACTCTACCTTTTTCTCTATTAACTACAGTATTTTCTTTCTTTCTTACAGCCGGATGGGACAGAACTGTTTCATTTTGTTGATGGATATCCATCTTGGGATGCCTACCTCACAAGTATGATGGCAGATGGTACATGGGGTGATCACGTGATTCTACACGGCGCGGCAAACTGTTTTCAAACGTGCATCCACGTGATCAGCAGTCTGCGGCATCGCCATGACGTAATGATCTGCCCAGAGTATGATGTTGCTGGTCGCAACCGGCTTGTGCTGGGTCACCTGCACGAGCTTCACTATGTTAGCCTTATTCCACATAAAGGAGGTAAAGATGTCTGATTATACTGTGATTCAAGAGTTGCTAACTCGCGTTATGAAATGGAAGACATTTGAGTGGAACATTTGACCTTAATTGTGGCACCTCATTTGCAAAGATGTTGGAAGAAATAAGAGGTCTATTTTTTCACATGTACAGGTTTTAATCCGTCAATTTTCTTATGACTGTACAATTAGCCGTTTTAATAGTGAAAACTAAAAACATTTTCTGCCTAAAAAAATTCATGCAGCCTCCTCAATTTCTTCGATAAATTACTGTAGTTTTCTTAATAGAACTTGGTTTTTAGGGCCAGCATCTTGCCTGCAGTCCCCTGTAAATACTCCACCATTAGACCCTATTGTTGTAAAAATCCTTGGAAAATACGCGTACTAATGATTACCTAGTTTCTCTCTCTTTGAGTCATGTCGCTGATGATTATGACTGTGACTGTAGCGTGTGAACACTCGGTTTTAACGTCTGTCAGTATACAGGTCAAAATTTTTTTCCTAGCAATTTCATTAGCATTTAGAGGTTAAGAACAATTTTTGCTCCAGTTGTTCCTTGCCTGCAGTCTTTGAAAATATTCAGTGTCAGGTTCCATACTGAGTAGAATTTATTCGTTTAGGATCAATCCTTTTTTAAGGTATTCCTTACCACAGAACTTAGTCAAAGACGTTTCTAATCGAGTTCTTTAAGAATTGTTCCTGTTTCTGGTGCGCTTCTATCAATCTGTAATATTTTCAGCCTCGAATAACTCTTTCATTGACAAGTTATTCATGTTTAACACTAATTTCTGAATGACAGCAATCCTTAACTAGCTTGCGAATACAGAAGCCTCTAATTACGCCTCGTCGCTGTGGAACACCAATTCCTTACCATATTATGTAAGTATTCCAATAGAGTAGAAGTAAGTTATCAGAGTATTTTTCTTACCATTGTATGTTAATATATTACCAAGGCCACTGCCTCTATTTTGGTACATAGGTTATAGTAAAATTAGTTAGGTTTAAAAAATGTGTCATTCTACCTACTTAGTGAGAGTCTTTTTATAATTTGCTATAGTGTATTAACTAATAAATTAAAACGTACTAGTGTTAGGGCGCCGGACCGGTTATTTCGTAATTGAAATAGGCTTTTTAAAGGAGTTTTGGTTAAAATTAATACATATCAACCCATGCATATTATTCACAAATTGACTCATCTCAGGCTGGACATTTTCAGTTAAGAGAGTAGTTCTCATTACAACGTGGAGGCGTGTGTGACTGAGCGGTTAACACCTCGAACTCTGGATCTCTCGTTGATTCCTTAGACAAGGAATTTTACTCCACTTTGTTGTCTCTCTTCGCCCAGATGTATAATGGGTACCGGCGACATACTGCTGGGGGGTCATCATCATCATCATTATCATCATCATCATCATCTTTATTTAATCACGGAATCTCATTCATAAAAATGCTCTTCCAGAGACCCGTGCAAAAATCATGCAATAAAATAACATTAGATAAGTATAGTTATTAAAACGGTTCTAAAATTACAAATGCGAGAGAAATAATTTCAAGCTTGTGTGTCCTTTTACGACGTTTGATAGACTATTCCAGAGAACCGCTCTTCTATAGTGGAAGCTGTTTTTTTTTTTTTTCAGGCTCAGTATACAGTCTTGGTACAAACAAATTATGTTTTGAGTTCCTTAGATTATAGGAGTACATAGAGTTTGTACCATTAAAAATTTGAGCCAAATTATCTGTTGCAATGTGATTTTTCAATTTATACATTATTGTGGCTAATTGCCTTGTCCTTCGTGTCTCAAGATTATCCCACCCAAGTTCGTCCAGTATCTCAACTGATCGCCTATCGTAACTAGACGAAGTTACCACTCTGGCAGCTCTGTTTTGGAGGGTCTGGGGTCTGTTACGCATCCCTTCCCCACAGCTCCCCCACACTATACTACAATAATCGAAATACGATAGTACAATGGATTTGAACATTGTAATTAGTGTATGATAAGGCATGAGATGCTTTACACGTCTCAAAACTCCAATTCCTCCAGAAGCTTTCTTAGCAATTTTTTCTACATGATCTCTCCAAGTTAATGATTGATCTGTTTCAACACCATGATATTTATAACCCTGCGATGGACTAGGATCCCGACCAGGGGGGAGTAGCAATACCTCTAGGCTTGCTTCATGCTAAGCAAACCGGTATAAGCTCCGGCCGTGTGGGCCTTTGGCTCGTGTGCTCCTTTACCTTACCTTTTCCTCACTACCACGGGAGCGGTCTGGCTGCCGGTCAATTCTGACAAATGAACAGTGCACTTTACCCCTTAGTTGAAAACACTACTAATAATACTTTGTGCTACAGACATCTTGATCTCATGCATGCTCCAGTTTCCTAGTGATTTTTGCTAAAATAAAGTTGAATAAAGTACTCTATTCTATTAATTAAGAAGCAAATTAGAAAAACTGTAATCAGTTTGAAACTTTATAACGTGAAAAGATTGACCACTGTAAATATACTAATTTGACATTTTTGTAAATAAAGATCTCTGTTTCAATTTAATTTATACATTAAATAAGTGTCTAAACAAGTCTAGTTAATCCCTCAATTAGCCATTGAATGGAGGTCCCAGTCGCGAATAAGGACCCTACTTCCCTTCATATCACGAATCATGTATCTAACATCCATTATTGCAGAAAATTATCTCCAGGATTACGATCAGTTAGTGTCAGCTCTCGTCCGGTTTCAGTTCATGTTCAGTTTCTGAGCGTTGACAAGATTGCGGGTAAAGCTTTAAAACAATCTTAGAAACGCATCAGCCCAGCCTGAGAAAATGCGTTCAAGATCATTCTTTGGCATGTTACAACGTGGGTCACTATATGAATAGATATATTAGCAGCTAAATTCGATTCGGTTTTTTCACGAATACCACGAATCAGGGACCTCAAAATTAAGTGATAGTGCGTCATGCTAGACCGGAAATTCACGGATCACAGCATTTCGAGCTCTCTATATGAAAGTCAAACGGACTTAGAGACACAGGACAAGATCGCAAAACCTAAGCCAAACAAACAAACACACTAGGACACAAACTATAGCACAAGTAAGTAAGTATCGGTAAGTAAGTGAGTAAGTAAGTAAGTGTCGAATCGGGTGGATGTAATAGTAAATAGAGCAAAACCGGGTGGGCCTACTAAAGCGTACAGTTGGTAGCAAGAACAGAGAAATTTTCTCCATGCTCTGTGAGTCCTTGGTAATATCGGTCCTGTCCGGCGGGCAAGGCGAAACGAAAAGAGACTTCGTAAGAGAAAATGTATGAGAACTGCAAAAATTGGGCCTGATCTCAGGTTATAATCAGCCTTGCTTCTTTTGCTCCACTCTTTTTTGATAGTCTCACAGTTAGAGCAGAGGACACTGTCCTGTCACGAGTCTATCTTAAGTATGTCGGCGTTATGCTCGATCCATACCTCTCGTGGAATGACCACATAGACTACATCGGGCGCAAAATATCGGCAAAGCTCGGCATGCTTCGTAAAGCGCGCAAGGTCATTCTGCGTGGGTCGTGAATCGTATTTAACACTTAATAACGCCATGAAACTTCCAGTATTCTAGCCTGCGAACCGCAGACGTATTTCCGGTCGTCGCCTCTCTCCCTCCGAAAAATTTTTCGGAGGGAGAGAAGCGACGACTGGAAATACGTCTGCTGTTCGCAGGCTACCAGCATTCGACTGTTGCGCTGTTGTATGGTACTCCTGCAGTAAGGCTGACCGTGAGCACTTGGATAAGCCACATAGGCGTGCCGCCAGTATTATCGAAGGCTACACAGTTTGACAATCGCAGATATCCCACACTTTCGGTTGGCCTACGCTCCAGTCCCGCCGGGACTATCTAAAGTGCATGCTGCTGTTTAAGAGCGTTCATGGCCTGGCTCCAGCATATTTACTTAGTTTAGCCACTCGCGTGATTTCCATTCTTATAACACGCGCTATAGAGATTTGCTCCGTCTGCCATCACTAGCTAGATCTGGAACTCTTCCTCTGGCCCTGAGGAGCCATTATAGTCTAAAGAAGTTTAGGTTTGGCCTCAAAAGGCACCTTAGATCCAAGCCAAATTGAGCCTTCAATACTTTTCCTATACTTTACAGTTCTTCCATTTTTTATCTGTTAGTGTTACTGTCTTTTGTATATTTTTTCTTTTCATCAGGACCCAATTCAAACCAGCCTCACTCAACTGGGCACCCCTGAATAAATATTGTTCAAAATAAAATAAAAACCATCTCTTTTCTTATGGTCCGTTCCCGTTGTTCCTTCTGGTCGTCACGCTTCCGCTTCCGGCTTCATGCTTTAAACAATTGGGTAGAAAGAATCTAGGCCCTGGGAACGAGGGGATCAGGAATGAACTGGAAGTTAGCCAAGATTTCATTGCATTCCGTGAAAGAAGCAAAAAAAGAGCAATCAACATATTAAGACGAAAACCATCAAACCGTTTCTTCCTCAGATCAGCAGCCTTAGGTAAGAGTTGTATATTACATATAGAATGCTTCATAGAAAGTGCCTAGTTATGGTATTTCATACGACCGAGTTGCTTGGTTGAAGTATGGAAAATCTCACTTCCTGTGTGCTTTTGTTATATACAGTACTCATTCCATGGTTATTTGAGTTTGAACTCGAACTTGAAAGTTTTTAAGGTATGTAATTCGACCAAGTTGTTGAGGTATGAGAAAGCTCACTCCCTGCGCTTACTCGTGTCTGCAGCTCGTGTTTAGTGCTCGTTCCATTGGTTATTAACTTTAGAATATTTTCCCGGCCACTTATTTTCATCTCTTTGAATGACAAGCATGCTCTTTGTTATTCCTCGTTCAGCTTTAAAGCGGAAATGAAGTAGCCAAATGTACGTAAGGGTGCATTCGATTGACTTTATCTGGAATAGGAATGCATAGAATAACCGTTCAAATGACCTGTTATTTCAATTGCGGAAGTGGAAGTATATCAGAGACCTTAAGATATGCCTTTTCCTAATGTATGGGTATCGATAGATTTCCTGGCCTATCACTAGCCATAAATACCGGCGGACCACCCTACCCAGGAGAAAGAGCTAAGCTTCAGGGTGTAATAATGATTGTATTGCCCCAGGGGGTACCCCAGATTTAAAGCAGGGTCGTAATATGGTATATGGGCTCAGGGCTCGAAGCCCAAAATTTGATTGGGATCAGGGCTCAGAGGAAAGGGCTCAGGGCTCAGAAGAATGAGATCAGGGATCACAAGGCTTTTGAGCCCGAATCAGGGATCAGATTTATTACACGGCCTAAAAATCTCTTATCACAATATTTTTCCGCATAATAAGGTTTGTGTCCATAGAATTTCCTGTCCGAGGTACATTACCTATTCTTGCTTCCGGCTGGCGGCAGTTCCAGTCATACGAAGTCCTGGTTGTTTGACGAAAACACGGTATCATATTCTTAATTTATCATTAAGTCGTGAGGGCACCGTAATATGAATCTCAAGTCACTTTTCTCGCTTTGTAACGCAACTCCTCAGCACGCTGTCAACGCCAGAAGGCAGAGAAAGCGACTTATACATATCTTTTTTTGCGAGAAATGGGAGGAAGAAAAAGGACAAAAAAGAAATCCTGTGAAAGGGAAAGGTACGTAAGTACTTCTTTGATTTACTCCTGGCAAGGGTCCAAGCATAGAGTTTTTCGGCCGATCAAACATATCAATACCGCCAGGACAATAGACAAACCGATTCATTGAAAGCGGAATTTACTGTATAGGACTGTATAGGTCCCAATTGCCTCATCGCCTCAAGTAAGTCACAAGGCGACCATAAATCGAGGTTCGTATTTTTTGACCAGTAACTTAACCCTTAAAAGTACTTAGATAATAAGAATCGACATCAAAAGTAGAATACAAAAGTACAATGAATTCGCGCTTTGTTGCAAAATAAATGCCTTCTCGCAATTTAACAAATCTGCTTTAATTGCATGGAGCTTTGGGGGGGGTTATCTCGAACTCTGATGAGAAACCGAGATCGGTTCACCTACCAGTACTAGTATTGGGTCTGGAAAGTAAAGGACACATCGCATTACATTACTGTATAAACGATAAATGCTTGTATAGTAAATAGTCTGAAATTACAGTGTTACAGAATTAGTGAAAATGAGTGGAACACCAGAGACTTACCTCGGTGACATAAAAGTAACAAAGCCTTTATAGTTTATTTTCTTTAGTGTTTTTTTTATGAAATAAACGGTTGAATTGGTGAAAGAAATGTTTTAGACTAGGTAGATGTAGCAGAGTCTGCAGGAATTTAATATATTATAGCACTCAGCATGAAGGGCCACCAGTAAGGGGCCCACTATTTGATTTTTGAGCTGGGGATGGGTTATTTTTTTCATGCAAGATTTTTTTCGAACCTCATTCGTGCAGTAGCAATTTTGTTTTACACAAAATGTACAGACTTTAGCGACAATATTGATCTACAAGAATTTTTTCGGCCCTTTGGGCTATTCGGCCTCGGCGTATGTAATGGTCGGCCCCGAAAGGTATCACCACCTTAGATTTGGAGCCTGCATTTTTTAGTGGAGTGAGAACACCCGCTCTGAGCGACTACGCATCGCGGCGGCCCAGCTGCCTTTTAGAATCAATAGAGAGGCTCTACCAATCATCGTTTATCTTTTATACCGATCCTCAAAGCCATTACACAGAGAAAGCTGGGTCCAAAGGAACCGGAATGGCTTCCAAAGTCGCACGGCAAGAGTAAACCTTAAGGAAGATATGGACGAGGAAACGAGCGCGGAGGCAAAGGATCGACAAAGGAAGGCATTGCAGAGCTTTGCGAAAGAATTCGGTCGGGGTGTAGGACAGCAACGAACAAGAGACCAAAGAAAGAGCTGGTACACTTCCACTTACTCTGAGTATGTTCAGAGGGAATGCGTCGGCACATAGAGAAGTCGATCTGCTGAAAGAGGTTTACAGGAGTGAAGGACAAACTACAGTTCAAGACGCAGCCGAAGAATATGAGATTATTTATTCAAAAGACGACGTAGTTGCTCTCAAGCACAATTACAAGAGGTATATCATTCCTTTCTTCCAAGCAGTTCTTTTAAAAGATCTCATTCCTGGAAGATCATATGGGTTTGAGATGGCTGAAACAGTCAGAAGAAGATCCCCTTGTATACTAGACTGGGACCGTGACGATAGAAATTCACCTAAGTGTATCATCGGGAAAGCTCAAATAATAAAAGATGGAAACAACTTCTGTTTGAGCTGCCTTGAAGAGAAATGCCTAGTTGCATTGCTCCAGGGGTCAGTTGAATCAGATGATTCACCTGCGTCAGGTGGTGACGAAGAGGAAGGTGAGCAAGCTCAGGCGGACAACTTTTCAGAGCCAATTAGATTTGAAGCTAGAAGGAGTAGGTCTGGAAGACCTGCAACCAGATATGTCCCCTAACAATCTACAATAGTTATTAAGCCAGGGAAAGCCATTAATGGGCTTGAAACAGAAAAGCTGTTAAACTGTAGAACCTGTGGCTTGCATCATTTAATTTTTCTACTTCATGTAAAGCCGGTATTTTGCTATTGGTAATTGATCGTGATCCTCACTGTAACACACACAGAGTGAAAGAGGAAATTCAGATAAGACTACACTCTCACAACACCAACGGGGATAGCAGAATAGAAAGTCCAGAAGCTTGGTTGCCCTTAATCAAGAAACACAGCAATAGGAGATCCGTACGACAGCGGACCAGTGAGGCAAAAGCTCATACAAACAACGGAGTAAGAAATGCACCAATCTCAGTGGCTAATAATTGACCAACCAGAACCAGAGCTTGGAGTCATATAAGTTCACGTGTGACCAGTCGACGAAGACTAGCAAGGCAAGGTCTTTAAGTGTTGCTTTTTCTAGTGTCACATTCGTCACTGACGCGAGTCATGACGTCATACTGGTACAAGGACTATTGACTCAGAGGCCATGAGGGCGAGAGGAATAATTGTATTAGTAAAATCCAACTAGTTGGTCAAAAATATCGAGAATAAAAAAATTTTAGCTAGTTAAAGCTAGACTTTAGACGCTAAAAAGCCCGCACTTTTCGCTACTAGTGGGCTATAACATATAGCCTAGTAGTAGCTCAACCAATTAGAACACATCATTGATAATAGACAACTAGTTGGATTTTACTAATATCTATTATTCAAGCGTTAATCCTTTCGTTTTTTTTTTTTCTATCCAATGATTTTATCTACAATGGTTTTAATTTCGTTATTTTTTTCTAGCCGGCGAGTAACCTCTCCATCTTGCGCCTTCTCGCTCAGTTCCCTTCACTCACCCGAATAGGAGAGCTTGCTTGCAGGCTATATTTTTTCCAATCAACTCTTGAAGTACGCAGTTGAAACGTCGCGATCTACATCATTAAGTGACTGAATCGTGAGACAAACTTTAACACTTTCTTAACATCAATATTGTAGACCAGTAACACGGCCGACGTGAAATCTTTGGTTGCAAGAGTCCCTTTGGAAATAAAACATCTCTTACCCACATGCACAGATCGGACATTGATTAACTGGACAAGTTATCTGGGCAAGTAGATGTTCTTACGGGACAGGAATTGGAAAGCTAGAGGAAGACCTTAGTTCAGAAGTACCTTACAGTGACGTTAATTCAACCGGGGACCAACCAGCGCTAGCTGTGTTTGCTGTTTGACTAAATTTTATCCAAAATTTTGTACTTATTCGAATCCCAATGCTTTCTTGTGATTGTCTTATAAACCTCCGGGTGGCCTTGCTCATATGAGCAACACTGAAAATAAACCTTGTAAATACTCTTGATGAACGTTACATCTGAAAAAATCAAGAATCCGCCGCAAGATCTTTAGGGGAAGTGGACTACTTTTAATGTGTATATTAACAATAACTTACATTGTGTATCTTACTAAAGCTCCCGTTCAAGAAAATCAGGTTTTATCATTTGTCTAGTATCGCCAAACATTATATTTAAAGTGTTTTAAATAGAATAATGCAGAAACAGAGGCTGACTCATATTGATCTTTAAAGCTCTGATAGAACCTACAACTTGCCCTAAAAATTAAAGTTAATGTTAATTTTCTCATCAGCTTATTTGAGCATGTTCTATATTCTATATTTGGAGATAAACAAAGTTGTCTACGTTAAACTTTTGTGTAAAAACATGGATGGGATCAATTTTTTTATCAGGGCTCAGGGATCAAAATTTGGGGGAAAATGGGGCTCAGGGATCAAAATAACGGCAAGAAAATAGGGATCAATGGGTCCCGGATATACCATGTTACGACCCTGTTAAAGCCAGCCAAAAAAAAGATCAAAAATCAAAAGGGCTTCCAACAACACTTGAAAAAATCCCTGGACAAAAAAAATTAACTCCCAAATTCCCCTGCTGAACTGCTGAGTCTCAATTAATAATTCACTATGGCAAAAGGGAATTCCTGAGATAATAAAGTTGGGCAATAAAAACAATAGTCAATACATCAACACCTTGCTGGATATACAGCCCCAAGTCACTACATGTAATTACCCTATACAGTTGAACCTCCGGTAAGCAATCACCCAAAATGCAAAGGCTGAGTGGTCGCACTTGCTTTACTGAGCTTTCCTGCTGTGAAACTTGTGTCAGAGCTCAACCTGTGGCAATTAGCTCAAAACAAGTAATATTTGCCCACATACATTCTAGCCTCAAACATTCTAGGGCAGGGGCGGATCCAGGATTTTTTTTAGGAGGAGATCCACTCATCTCTTGCTCTACTTCAACACCAAAAAACCACATAGTTTTTTTTTTTTGCAGAATACCAGTTGTATTAGAAAACCGCAGGTCACCCAAGGGTGTGGGGTGCGCACCCCCTGCACCCTCCCCCTAGATCCGCCCCTGTAGGGCTATAAATAAAAATGCACTCTTTACACAATGAAGGCATCGCAAAGGTTAGTCAAACATTGAAGGGACTGTTTGGTTTATTTCGTTGGTGGTATTTTTTAAGGAGATTTTTTTAAAACATGTCGTTGCAAGATCTCTGTCTGATGGGTTTCCTTGTTATATATAATTGTTGCTGTTCATTTCTGCTTATTCCTCTTACGATTATCTCAGCTTGTATGGAACCTGGCAGGAGAGATAAGCCTGTATTTGACATCAACTGCTTCCTTTCTCACAGTCCTTGATCTATAGCCAACAGCAATGAAAGCAACTCCAAAAGCTCCCAATTTCACTCAAATCAAAACTTAACAGGAATAATATATTCATTGATCTGTAATTTTGAGGAGGTTTAGTGGTATTAGTTAATGAACTCAACCAAGCATGATGCAAAGTTTTTTGAAGGTTCTATAGCACTATGTGCATTAATTTTGAATTCTCAACATCCTGTCAAAAAAAGCTAAGTTTGGTACATGGGAAGTAATGGGATAGTACTGTGCTTTTAAGCTTCCAGCCCTCTCCTTCATATAAGCAACCACCTTCAATAAACACCCTGCCTTGCTAAATAAATGGTATACCGGACTTTTATCTTTCAAAAGGATAGCTTAAACATTACAGGCACAACAGAATAACTAATATTTGGAGACATCACACGATCAGATGTTAATGACCGACCAGCTCCTCTGAAAGTAATGTATTTAAGTAAGGATAGTTTTAATGGAAAGTTCCAAGCTAAGAACATGACCGAAACACACTTGGGTATTTATTGAAAAATACGTTGTAGTTTCATTGCTTCGTTTTTTTGTCTGTTTGAAACAAAGACAAATGCTATCTTGAGGCTGAAATACTTAAATATGAAATAAGCGACCCCTTCAAATACATGTAAGTATCTCCCCCTCAAATAAGCATTCACTACAAATAAGCACACCCTCCTGGGATTATTTCCAGATCTGCAGAAATCAAATTATTTGTCACTTTATAATTATGTTACATGCAATAACCCCACGTACCTGATGCATGTTCACTTACTTAAAATACACCCATAGCCAAAATTTGAAAACACTGTGTTTCTTAAGCTACAGTCTGAGCAGTACACAATAATGACATCATTTTCCTAATGCATCATGTCAGTTTCACTGACAACAACAGTTACAGAGTCTGGTGCACCTCATCAGTGATACATGTAGCAAACAGTACTTATTGACTCAAGCCTCCATTTGGTACCAGTCCTCTCATTGGTGACCACCTCCCATAAGCAACCAAAAAAAAAAACAGGAAAATTTCCGCAACTGAATCACAACAGCTGGAGTCTCTTGTGAATGATCCCCTCTCATAAGAAACCAGAATGACTGTTTTGGATGTCAGATGATTTTAAAATTTTCAATTGTGTTTATCCCCCTGTAGCAAACATTTGAGGCATTTTAATGTTCAATCTTTTTGTTTGCTGTAGTACTCAAAGCACATGACAACAGGGATGCAGGGGTAAATACAACAAGTAGGCAGGGAATAAAACAGCTAGGGAATTCTTTTTGGTTCTATTTTTTCTTCCATTTTCTTACGAAAGTAGGCGATGGCCACATTCATAGTAGCTGCAGGGGGAAATCACCAGCCCCCACCAGTTAATGACAGCCCTGGACACCTATGAAACTACACATATTGTAGATTCTAAATTGCATGCAATGAGTTCTGTTCCAAAATGTGGATGTGTTGGGACCTCCATCTTCTAGGAAGGGACCTATTGTTGTTTGATTCAATAAGTAGCCACCTCCTTATAAGATGACCAGCCACTCAATCATAATTTGTACTGTGAGTGCATGGTCATCAACAAGAAATAGTTTAGACTGAATTTAAATGAGAAAGAGGAGACACTAGGAAAAAAATTGTAGCTACTTATTAAAAGCAGAAAAGAAACCCTTGAGTTCATTTCCTTTTTCAGCAAGAATAGGATAAAGTTTATTGTTCCTGAATTTCTTAGAAGGTGCAATTAAATTTCCTCAAATATAAACAGCTTTCGATCCTTATGCTCTTTAAATGTGTAATAATTATTCTTTAAAATACTAATTGGTGACAAGTTTCTTTGTCGACCCTGGCCTTCAGTTCTACTTATACAATATTGTGGATAAAAATTGAAATAATTACATTGCTTAAGTACCAACAATATGAGTTGTTGACACAGTTAATTGTTATTGAATGTATTCCTCTTCCAAAATAAGATCAAATGAATGCACCCTTGTATAACACACTGAGCCTAGCATTTGTCATTCTATCATAATCTTTAAATTGAAGGTTTCAGAAAATTAATACTGAGATGATACCATTTGCTGCTACTCATTGTGAAATGACAAGGAAAACAACATACACTGTAATTTTGCAAAATGTTTAGTAAGGATTTTCAGTCACTAATAACAATTATTCCACAAGGGCGCTTTGGATATGAGATGGTAGATAGCCAATGAGGCGCCGAGTTGGCTATAATCATCTCATATCCAACAAACGCAAGTGGAATAATTGTTTTTTTAAAAACGCCTACAAAATATCAAGAATTCTTTGTGACCTTTACTGATTTGTAAAAACAATGACACGTACAGTTAAACCAGTGACACGTACATCATACACCATGATGGCTAAGACAATCAGAGCTCTAGAACTGCATTATTTATCCAATGATTCAGTTTTTAATAAAAGCTATAATAGCTAATACAGGAATTAAAAGTAAAGTTTACGTTTATTTTGGACCTGATGAATCTATTGTTTTAAAGTAAATGACAAATCAGTGGCAGTTGCAAGTCTGCATTGCATGGAGGACAGAAAATAGCTGCTGGTGTATAAAAAGTTGGCACACAATAGGCTACAAGTCCCAGCGACATGACATAGGGCCATGCAGCTGCAGGTCACAAATGTAACTTGTTGTTTGGAAAAAATTCATTCTGCTGCAAGGACAGATTTTCTTAAATATATTCTATAATTTATTGTACGTGTCACACAATCAAAGTGAATTAGCACTGTGACCTGTCCCTGCAGACCTTAAATGCACTGACTTGTCACCCAGTGTAACTATGCCAGCATCAAATCGTAAAGAAAAGCTAAAATCAATTACCTCTGCTTGGAATCAAACTCAGAACCTTTGAAATCCTAATAGACCAGAAGCAATTGCTGCCACAGAAACCATAATTTTACTGAGAAGAGTTCTATAGATCAAAAATCGATGCATCTAAACTGTCTGACAGAGAATTCAAACTCCTTTCACAAAATGGTTTGAAATTAATGGTCAGACAACTGACCTGTTGAGGCAACTTTGGAGAATATGATTAAAACAGTACAGACCATAATATAAAGAGCTTCCATAACATCTTTTTGCAAATATTGCAGGCTCTCTACTGATGTGACGTGGTATAATATAATACTACCTCACATTGCACGCTCATCTCATTCCATGACAATTATAACCATCCACCAAAGGCAATTTTGCACTTGCCAGTGACCAGGTCAACTGGATGAAATGCCACTTAAATAAGCTACGGGTGAAAAATCTGCATAGTTAATAATATTGTCTACTAATTAAAGATTTTTTTAATGCAGCTAACAACATCTGCTCTAGATTAATTCTTTCATTTTAATTCTCTAAAATTCACCTATATTGATGATATAATTTTGATTTTTCCATAGGTTAATATTTTTGTTATTTCTAGATGATAAGAAGAACTGTCAAGACTTTTAATTAACAATTTGAAACCTGGTGCATTATTCCAGTACAGAATTGGGAGCTTACGTAAGACATAAATATGGTGAAAGATTAACAGTTTTGGATCTGAAAGGAGAAGGACTCTTCAGGGTACCTGATGCAGTCACTGAACGGAGTGAAATAGAGATACAGATACTTGTGCTGGATGAAAATAAACTGATTGAATTACCAGTAAGTATCAACAAGCTGAAAAATCTCATCCTGCTAAACTTGAAAAATAACAAACTCACCAACCAACCAATTGGTTGGTTTACCTACCAGTACACAGAGGCTGACCAAGCTTGAAAAGCTGGACTTGGATGAAAATAACAGGGTCGTAACATGGTATATCCGGGACCCATTGATCCCTATTTTCTTGCCGTTATTTTGATCCCTGAGCCCCATTTTCCCCCAAATTTTGATCCCTGAGCCCTGATAAAAAAATTGATCCCATCCATGTTTTTACACAAAAGTTTAACGTAGACAACTTTGTTTATCTCCAAATATAGAATATAGAACATGCTCAAATAAGCTGATGAGAAAATTAACATTAACTTTAATTTTTAGGGCAAGTTGTAGGTTCTATCAGAGCTTTAAAGATCAATATGAGTCAGCCTCTGTTTCTGCATTATTCTATTTAAAACACTTTAAATATAATGTTTGGCGATACTAGACAAATGATAAAACCTGATTTTCTTGAACGGGAGCTTTAGTAAGATACACAATGTAAGTTATTGTTAATATACACATTAAAAGTAGTCCACTTCCCTAAAGATCTTGCGGCGGATTCTTGATTTTTTCAGATGTAACGTTCATCAAGAGTATTTACAAGGTTTATTTTCAGTGTTGCTCATATGAGCAAGGCCACCCGGAGGTTTATAAGACAATCACAAGAAAGCATTGGATTCGAATAAGTACAAAATTTTGGATAAAATTTAGTCAAACAGCAAACACAGCTAGCGCTGGTTGGTCCCCGGTTGAATTAACGTCACTGTAAGGTACTTCTGAACTAAGGTCTTCCTCTAGCTTTCCAATTCCTGTCCCGTAAGAACATCTACTTGCCCAGATAACTTGTCCAGTTAATCAATGTCCGATCTGTGCATGTGGGTAAGAGATGTTTTATTTCCAAAGGGACTCTTGCAACCAAAGATTTCACGTCGGCCGTGTTACTGGTCTACAATATTGATGTTAAGAAAGTGTTAAAGTTTGTCTCACGATTCAGTCACTTAATGATGTAGATCGCGACGTTTCAACTGCGTACTTCAAGAGTTGATTGGAAAAAATATAGCCTGCAAGCAAGCTCTCCTATTCGGGTGAGTGAAGGGAACTGAGCGAGAAGGCGCAAGATGGAGAGGTTACTCGTCGGCTAGAAAAAAATAACGAAATTAAAACCATTGTAGATAAAATCATTGGATAGAAAAAAAAAAAACGAAAGGATTAACGCTTGAATAATAGATATTAGTAAAATCCAACTAGTTGTCTATTATCAATGATGTGTTCTAATTGGTTGAGCTACTACTAGGCTATATGTTATAGCCCACTAGTAGCGAAAAGTGCGGGCTTTTTAGCGTCTAAAGTCTAGCTTTAACTAGCTAAAATTTTTTTATTCTCGATATTTTTGACCAACTAGTTGGATTTTACTAATACAATTATTCCTCTCGCCCTCATGGCCTCTGAGTCAATAGTCCTTGTACCAGTATGACGTCATGACTCGCGTCAGTGACGAATGTGACACTAGAAAAAGCAACACTTAAAGACCTTGCCTTGCTAGTCTTCGTCGACTGGTCACACGTGAACTTATATGACTCAAGCTCTGGTTCTGGTTGGTCAATTATTAGCCACTGAGATTGGTGCATTTCTTACTCCGTTGTTTGTATGAGCTTTTGCCTCACTGGTCCGGTGTCGTACGGATCTCCTATTGCTGTGTTTCTTGATTAAGGGCAACCAAGCTTCTGGACTTTCTATTCTGCTATCCCCGTTGGTGTTGTGAGAGTGTAGTCTTATCTGAATTTCCTCTTTCACTCTGTGTGTGTTACAGTGAGGATCACGATCAATTACCAATAGCAAAATACCGGCTTTACATGAAGTAGAAAAATTAAATGATGCAAGCCACAGGTTCTACAGTTTAACAGCTTTTCTGTTTCAAGCCCATTAATGGCTTTCCTGGCTTAATAACTATTGTAGATTGTTAGGGGACATATCTGGTTGCAGGTCTTCCAGACCTACTCCTTCTAGCTTCAAATCTAATTGGCTCTGAAAAGTTGTCCGCCTGAGCTTGCTCACCTTCCTCTTCGTCACCACCTGACGCAGGTGAATCATCTGATTCAACTGACCCCTGGAGCAATGCAACTAGGCATTTCTCTTCAAGGCAGCTCAAACAGAAGTTGTTTCCATCTTTTATTATTTGAGCTTTCCCGATGATACACTTAGGTGAATTTCTATCGTCACGGTCCAGTCTAGTATACAAGGGGATCTTCTTCTGACTGTTTCAGCCATCTCAAACCCATATGATCTTCCAGGAATGAGATCTTTTAAAAAGAACTGCTTGGAAGAAAGGAATGATATACCTCTTGTAATTGTGCTTGAGAGCAACTACGTCGTCTTTTGAATAAATAATCTCATATTCTTCGGCTGCGTCTTGAACTGTAGTTTGTCCTTCACTCCTGTAAACCTCTTTCAGCAGATCGACTTCTCTATGTGCCGACGCATTCCCTCTGAACATACTCAGAGTAAGTGGAAGTGTACCAGCTCTTTCTTTGGTCTCTTGTTCGTTGCTGTCCTACACCCCGACCGAATTCTTTCGCAAAGCTCTGCAATGCCTTCCTTTGTCGATCCTTTGCCTCCGCGCTCGTTTCCTCGTCCATATCTTCCTTAAGGTTTACTCTTGCCGTGCGACTTTGGAAGCCATTCCGGTTCCTTTGGACCCAGCTTTTCTGTGTAATGGCTTTGAGGATCGGTATAAAAGATAAACGATGATTGGTAGAAACCTCTCTATTGATTCTAAAAGGCAGCTGGGCCGCCGCGATGCGTAGTCGCTCAGAGCGGGTGTTCTCACTCCACTAAAAATGCAGGCTCCAAATCTAAGGTGGTGATACCTTTCGGGGCCGACCATTACATACGCCGAGGCCGAATAGCCTAAAGGGCCGAAAAAATTCTTGTAGATCAATATTGTCGCTAAAGTCTGTACATTTTGTGTAAAACAAAATTGCTACTGCACGAATGAGGTTCGAAAAAAATCTTGCATGAAAAAAATAACCCATCCCCAGCTCAAAAATCAAATAGTGGGCCCCTTACTGGTGGCCCTTCATGCTGAGTGCTATAATATATTAAATTCCTGCAGACTCTGCTACATCTACCTAGTCTAAAACATTTCTTTCACCAATTCAACCGTTTATTTCATAAAAAAAACACTAAAGAAAATAAACTATAAAGGCTTTGTTACTTTTATGTCACCGAGGTAAGTCTCTGGTGTTCCACTCATTTTCACTAATTCTGTAACACTGTAATTTCAGACTATTTACTATACAAGCATTTATCGTTTATACAGTAATGTAATGCGATGTGTCCTTTACTTTCCAGACCCAATACTAGTACTGGTAGGTGAACCGATCTCGGTTTCTCATCAGAGTTCGAGATAACCCCCCTAAAGCTCCATGCAATTAAAGCAGATTTGTTAAATTGCGAGAAGGCATTTATTTTGCAACAAAGCGCGCGAATTCATTGTACTTTTGTATTCTACTTTTGATGTCGATTCTTATTATCTAAGTACTTTTAAGGGTTAAGTTACTGGTCAAAAAATACGAACCTCGATTTATGGTCGCCTTGTGACTTACTTGAGGCGATGAGGCAATTGGGACCTATACAGTCCTATACAGTAAATTCCGCTTTCAATGAATCGGTTTGTCTATTGTCCTGGCGGTATTGATATGTTTGATCGGCCGAAAAACTCTATGCTTGGACCCTTGCCAGGAGTAAATCAAAGAAGTACTTACGTACCTTTCCCCTTTCACAGGATTTCTTTTTGTCCTTTTTCTTCCTCCCCATTTCTCGCAAAAAAAAGATATGTATAAGTCGCTTTCTCTGCCTTCTGGCGTTGACAGCGTGCTGAGGAGTTGCGTTACAAAGCGAGAAAAGTGACTTGAGATTCATATTACGGTGCCCTCACGACTTAATGATAAATTAAGAATATGATACCGTGTTTTCGTCAAACAACCAGGACTTCGTATGACTGGAACTGCCGCCAGCCGGAAGCAAGAATAGGTAATGTACCTCGGACAGGAAATTCTATGGACACAAACCTTATTATGCGGAAAAATATTGTGATAAGAGATTTTTAGGCCGTGTAATAAATCTGATCCCTGATTCGGGCTCAAAAGCCTTGTGATCCCTGATCTCATTCTTCTGAGCCCTGAGCCCTTTCCTCTGAGCCCTGATCCCAATCAAATTTTGGGCTTCGAGCCCTGAGCCCATATACCATGTTACGACCCTGAAATAAACTAAGTGAACTACCTGCTGAGATTAGTGACCTCAGGGAGCTGAGGGAGCTGAGTATGAGTAACAACCAGTTGGTTGGTTTACCTACCAGTATACAGAGGCTGACCAAGCTTAAATTGGCTGTACTTGAGTGGAAATAAACTAACTGAACTACCTGCTGAGATTAGTGACCTCAGGGAGCTGAGGGAACTGTGGGTGAGGAACAACCAGTTGGTTGGTTTACCTACCAGTATACAGAGGCTGACCAAGCTTGAAAAGGTGGACTTGAGTGGAAATAAACTAACTGAACTACCTGCTGAGATTAGTGACCTCAGGGAGCTGAGGGAACTGTGGGTGAGAAACAACCAGTTGGCTGGTTTACCTACCAGTATACAGAGGCTGACCAAACTTGAAGAGCTGGACTTGAGTGGAAATAAACTAACTGAACTACCTTCTGAGATTAGTGACCTCAGGGAGCTGAGTGTGATACGTAATCCTTTAACTGTTGACGCAGTAAGACGTGCCTTAATGTTAAGGAGGAAATTAAAGGGGTACTTGTACGTGGTGTTGTAGGTTAGCACAGCGGATATTGTAGTTATTTGTATTGTAGTTTAAAAAAAACCGAGATAAAATTCCACTATTTGCCTAGGAAAGGGAAGTCAGGTTTTTTTTTTTCAGTTAGCGGGGGTTTCGCGAATTCAGTGAGAGTTTGATAAATTAAGATATGTTTCGGAACCAGTCCAGACTATTTCCTGACTCCGCAGTGTTCTAGCTTAAAAAGCAAACATTCATGGTCGACCAAGTGGAAAGCTTTCTTCAAGTCAATAAACAGTCAACTCCTGTAATCATTTGCCTATCCATGTGTTCCAAAATATAATCAGTGAGGTAAACTACCGCAGTTTCAGTAGAGTGCTTCTTTCGAAAACCCGACTGGAAGTCTGACAATAAGTCATGTTCTGTCCAAAAAGCCAAGATATTGAACTTGAATAGCGCGCTCCATAATCTTTGACACCAGGGGAAGAACTGAGATTAGTCGGTAATTATTGACATCGTTCCTTGCTCCCGATTTAGAAATGGGTGTTACTCTTGCATCCTTCCACTCAGCAGGAATAAGTCCTGTTGAAATAGTAAGGTCAAAAAAGCCAAGAATTGAACTTGAATAGCGCGTTCATAATCTTTGACACCAGGGGAAGAACTGAGATTAGTCGGTAATTATTGACATCGTTCCTTGCTCCTGATTTAAAAATAGGTGTTACTCTTGCATCCTTTCCACTCAGCTGGAATAAGTCCTGTTGAAATAGTAAGGTTAACCAGATACGTGATCGGTTTAGCTATAACTGGAGCTGCATTCTTCAAAAGTCTTGCAGAAATACCATGATCAGGACCCGGGGCTTTAGTCAACTTGCCAGTTAGACAGCTCCTTCTCAAACTCATTAATAATTCATCAAGTGATAAACCAATTGCGTGTCCGCATTTAGGTCACATGGATGCACCTTGATACAGCGTGTTTGGATATCCAAACACGTGTGTTTGGAAATCAGTTAGAAAACGCAATACACAACTTAAACAAAGCTTTATTACTTCATTTCTGCATCTAAGCTTCGACGAAAAATAGCAAACCTGAAAAGCAGTAAATTATAAATTTCGTAAACATTCTAAGTTTCTATATCACATAAAGCACACTAGATTTTTAAGGGAAAAGCCCTGGGGACGAGGTTGCATACAAGGAACGAGACGGATAGCGACCACCGTTCTTATTGGTAACTTCTTGGACGAACTTTGTGAGCCAATAGTTTAGGGAAAGACTATCCAGGTCCTCCAACTTCTCTTCGAAACTTTGCACACGGTGAACATCATAATCTTTGAACACACTTCCCGCGTCAAGTATACAGAATTTTTGCTCGCGCGCTGCTTTCCAAGTTCTGAAAACTTCAACGGCCCACTTGTCTTTATACTGTGTACTTTTAGGCTTGGACTGTACAATTCAATTCAATTCTTTATTCACACTATACAAGATATTTACAAAAGTGTACATAGTAGGAAAATAAAGTAGCTACAAATAATAATTAACTAAAAGATATTACGCAATATTGGGCGGTCTAAACCGGCAAGATTCATCCTCAGCTAACCCGTCCATGTTTCGGAACTAGCAGAACGCCACTGAATGCAAATTGTGACTACTTGAAATAAACAAGCTTCAGTTGTGAAAAACACGGACATTATCATCACAAACTATGCCCTGATTAAACAAAAGAAGGCAAAAATCATATGCTTATGTGATTCTTGCTTTCTTTTGTTCTTTTGTTTTCTTTTTTCTTTTGTTTGCAATTAGGCGCCGATTGAGAAGCCATTTCAAAAACTCGTGCTTCGTGGTTTACCGGTGTTTCCAAACACTCGAAAACTATAAAAGCCCTCGGCCGTTTCATCAGTTTTCTCGTATGTGCAAAACCCGGTAAAACACTCGCACTCGTTTTTGAAATATTACTTCAAAACAAAGTTACTTGACACCTTTTGAAAAACAAAGTTTTGCGCAACTCTAAGAGTTAAAATATCGGGCAGCCTAGTCTTACTTTTGTAATGACCACACAGTTTCTCAACAACTGACGTGAAAAACTCATTAAAGCTAGTAGCCGTTAAATTTTCAGAGGCTGGAGCATTCGCAGTTTTGTGTTGCTTCTTGTTTGGTATAAGCACGTTCAGAGTTTTCCACAATTTACGCGAGTCCTGTTTTTCACATAGCTGATTTGAATAATAACTGGCTTTTTCCTTACGAAGTTTCATCGACACAGCGTTACGCAACCTTTTGTAGCTGCTCCAGTGAAGCTCTTTGTTAGTTTTAATGGCTTTTTTGTGATGATAATCGCGCTTTTTCATCAAGTCCTTTATAGTAGCAGTGATCCACGGTAAAGATCTCCCGCGTACACGACGATTGACTACTGGAGCATTAAGGCCGATACACACGAGGGGTTTTGCTCCCGGAGCATGCTCCAGCGGCACGCTTCGGGAGCAAAGCTCCTCCGTGTGTACCAACGATTTCATGGGTATACTTCATCCTCGCGAACAGAATTTCCACCCCGCAAAATGCTCCACGATATTTAACCGGTTAAATATTTGGGAGCAAGCTCCCGGAGCAAATTGAGCGAACTTGAAAACGCTCCCTCGTGTGTACTGACACGTGCAAAATGAGCCTGGAGCATGCTCCGGGAGCAAAACCCCTCGTGTGTATCGGCCTTTAGGGTTTTCCGATTTAGCGGAAGTTCGAGCCATTTTTCCGAGGTGTGAGATTGATCCATTATACTGTAAAAGGTCATCTCGATTTTTTTCGTTATAAGTAAATCTTTGCATGAAGTCATTGCTTATGCAAAATATCTGGCTCGTAAAAGGATGAATGAGCACAAACATGGTTGGTAATTTCTTTTTTTTTTAAACAAGAGGAGTCATTTGCAGTATTTGCGTCTAGCAGTCGCATTTGGCCGATACACGTACGCTGCAAATAAATTCACACTCGGTGCTAACGGTTTTTAAAAGTCGTTTAAAAGATAAAGCATATACGCTAACAAGGAAAAAAGTAAACAATCTGCCTTTGTTTGCTAGATGATATCGTGGGCAGGGAGGGAATCTCTCACTATATCTGATTTTTCTTCATTAACCTGCGATCAGCAGGCGGTCCTTAGATTTTCTCATTTTCTTTGGGAGGCCTGATCGCGGGTTATTTCTATATTTGCTACGTCAAACGTAAAGAAGAATCGTTTTCATTGTCTCATCGAGTGCCATATAAATACGATAATTTATAAACAGAAAAGGAACAACCTTGTATATCTCCTCTCCTATAAATTGGGAAAGACGGCGGGAAGTCTCCAGGCATCGTATCTTGCAATTTCGTCTACTTGTGGATATCTATTCGACTCTGTGCATTTTGTAGGTTAGGGTGAGGGTTGAAAACTATGGCAAAAGCTCAATAAATTAATACAAACGGCATAATGTGCAATCATAGTTATTGGTGCAATCCAACTAACTAAGCGAATGCAAATATTTTTTGACACTGGCGCGAAATTCCATGAGTTCCCACTAAGGTGCGGAATTGCAGAAGAAAGCCTCATAAGAAATTAATATCTCGTTGTTTGAAACAAGTTCACCATGAAAAGCAGTTTTGACTGGCCTTAAGGAATATTCTACCCTAAAGGGTTTGATAACGTTATTACGAATTGACCAAAAAGCACTGTATACATTTCAATTGTCGTTTTAGAAAGGTAAAGTAAAGTGGATCACACACAGATATTTCTCCAGTGGAAACAGTTATCCACCTTTCGCACAACTGGGCCCTGTACCTTAGTCAGGACGGGTATACTGTGTCGTGGCATGGATACTTAAAGCTAGCTATATCAATTTTCTCTTTGGTTTTGTAAACTAGGTGGCTGAACTTTGAGAAAGTCATCAACGCTTTGCTTTCCAAGCCAGTTTATTACCTGAGTATAACAAAGCTACGGACCCATGTTAAGGAGAATTGCTTCGTCGATGATGAGGAAGAGTTTACCACCATGGTGAATTTCTATCATGACCTGGGAATAATTATCGAGCACCGTAGCACAGTCATCTTGAGTACCCAGTGGCTGATCACTATTCCAGATTTTACGAAAATGGTAAGAAATACAATTTAACGTGTTTTTAAACTTGCCATATTTTATAACGGACCCCATTTTGGATGACATCGCGGATGTGAAACCGTGCCGTAACAAATAAAAATGATTATGTCTCGTGCATTGCACGCTAGCTTTCGTGTGTGTCATCAGCACAATCTACCTTTAAAGGGGTGCAATGGAAGTACATTGCATGACTTGTAGAATTATCCTCAAATGTAGTCTTAAAGGAACGTCTCGCAACAGAAAAGAGTGGAAAGATACATATATATATACGTATGCTAAAACCAGCGACTCTTTATGTCGACCAATCAGAACGCGCTTTTATAGTTTGTGGAAGTGAAATTTGGACCGTAAGAATTTTCCGGCGAGTAAACCAAATGCAGGATTCTGGCATTTACCTGGCGCTTTAAAGAACATTCTATATATTTAAAATCTGAGGTCTGTTAAAAAGGTTATGATCTTTTTTCGCCCCCCAGAGAGATTTATTCACAGTTGTACTTTCTAGGCAGTCTTTCGTAACTTCCATTTTATATGTGTCCTCACACAAATCCGCAAATTACAAGGAGAAAAGTTTTCCTTGAATGTTTACTTAAAATGTTAAGGAGTTTATTTCTTTTAGAGAACTTGCTAAAACTTATTAATATAACATTTAAAAAAGTAAAATGATCCTGGAAGAAAGCTATTTTGAATAGTTTTGTGATCATTCAATCAATCAAATCAATCAATCAATCAGTCTTTATTCTTCGTAAGATACGTGTAATAAAGTGGCTAAAGCCAGTATTTAATGGAGAATAAACCTATCAAGTTATATATATACACGCGTCTATTGATTACAAAAAGCAGGGCAGTGCGGTTCTAATTACAATTAGGTGTGAGGAAAAACTAATAGAGTGTTGTTTTTGAGTCAATTGTTCCTAAGGTAAAACTTGTTTTCGTGGCGGCACTTGGAAATCAGTTCTGATCTTTTATTTAGGATTCTGTCGGGGTTTGCAGTAATGATCATTAGTTTCTTCGTAAGATAAAAAGATAATTCGTAAGATAAAAAGACATATCTTAAGTTACATCAGCAGTTAGGATTCTAAAAATACATACGACATACTGTATACAAGTAATAGAAAGATCAAAGATTATATCTAAAAATAAGCCTATTTACAAAAACATTCTTAAATGTATCGGTCTTTATATCCGGGCGATGAGCACTTTTGTTTCTGAGTTGTTACTTTGTTTCTTTCTAATCTTCGGAATGATGTTACTAAGCTGGAAATCGGGATCCACTGAACGTACCTTGAAAAGCTTATCTGCCTTTTGTAAAATTTCTCGAATGTCCATTCTCTTAGTCGCAGAAATCTTACTCCAGACTGGCATTTCAAAGAACCAGCTGATTGTGAGATCATTTGTGAAAGACAAACAAAGATTGAGGGAGTTGTTTTGTGAAGTCGATCTGGCCATCATGCCATCAAGAACTGAGGGGTTTGGTTTGACAGGATTGGAGGCCATGTCAGCTGGTCTTCCCATTTTGGTTAGTGGAAACTCCGGATTTGGAAAAGCACTGCGCGGTTTTCCAATGGGTGAGTCATTTGTGATTGACTCTGATGACCCTAAGGAATGGGCATAGAGAATTGCATAGGGTGAACAGATTAGACCGCTTTTTTGTAGTGTAATCTCGTTAAAATGAAGTGGAATAAATAATGTTCTCTCTATCTCGTGAATAAAATGCGGTTGAATCTCATTGAGATAACGCCACGAGCTATTTTTACGTAGTATTTAGTACATCCATTTATATAAGTTGTTGGGATCATACCCTTATATTGACATAGATTAGTCTAAATTGTGTGTGTCATGTCTTTATTTGGTCATGAAGACACCTGGACTTAAAATCACTGAATCACGATGCCCTCATTGTCCACTGCAGACATCTTAGGTTGTCTTCACACTATGCGGTATAGTTTTTTGGCGGGCACGAGAATCATACCAGATGGGGTTTCAGTTCACACACAAGAACGGTGATTTCGGCGCGATTTCTTTAACGCGCCGATGCAGCTGTCTCTTTCGTAACGGTCGCTGCAATTTTTTACACACTAAGAAAATTTTTTATCTGTTATTTAGAGTGTTTCTATAAACAAGAAAGAAAATCGTAACCCAGGGTCAAAGCGGGACCTCGAACCCGGACCTGTCGCATCCTAATCTCTCTCCCTTACCACTAGACTACCCCACCGACCAAAATGCTGAAAAAATTTAAGTACATACACTGACAAACTGTCTTTCTTAACTGTTACATCAATAACAGGTGACCCTAGCCCTTTCCATAAATTTTAACGAAAATTCAACTTGGCTGCAACGCCGTTTTCTAACACTATTCAAAAACGTATTATTTGCCTTTTTGTAACTAAATGCAGGGAATATATTACATCTATCATGACTAAAGGCTTTGTTACTAATGCTGGCATCGACCGTTAAAAATGGAAAAGACTGATTACGAAAGGGAATGAGGCCGTGCCGATCTCTAAAGTGGAGAGTCACATATCGGATAGATGTTCACACTATACTGGATGGCTTCTCGTATCGTCACGAAAGCTTATCTGGTATAGTATGATCATAGCTTTATTGTTCTGGTTCCGTTTTACTGATTCTTGGTTGCCAAAGGAGATAAAGACGTCATCGACGTTAATTTATTCCACTTCAAAGTAAAGACTTCTAACTGGTGTGTCCTTAATACTACTGAGGGGGACATATTATTTCTAGTGCCGATACTAATGGTGTCGTCTTATAAAGAGCTGACAGCGCAGCTGCCTGAATATATACCTTCTACAAAAGCACTCTACATTTTTCTCTATTAACTACAGTATTTTCTTTTTTTCTTACAGCCGGATGGGACAGAACTGTTTCATTTTGTTGATGGATATCCATCTTGGGATGCCTACCTCACAAGTATGATGGCAGATGGTATATGGGGTGATCACGTGATTCTACACGGCGCAGCAAACTACTTGCAAACGTGCATCCATGTGATCAGCAGTCTTCCGCATCGCCATGACGTAATGATCTTTTTTTTTTTTTTTTTTTTTTTTTTTAATATTTTTTAATTAAAGCATTTCTTACGTTTACATACAAAATAAAAATTAAGAGAAAAAAAAATATAGTACAAACAAATATAGTACAAACAAACAAACAAACAAAAAAAAAAAACAAAGCTAAACAAAGCTATTACAGCAATAAGTTACTTAGCATGTAAATTACAATGACATCTCTTTAAACTTATTGTTGAAATTAATCATATCATCACTTTTACGTAAAAACGCTTATTAACTTTTCCCACTTTCTAAAATGATTGTTTAATTTGTCTCTTTTCCTGGCAATATGGAGTTCGATGTTATAAATACGCCTTGTCCTGGCTATAAAACCTTGAAGAGAAGGTATACCATTCTGGTATTTCCGAGAGTAAATATAAAACTTACCCAGAAGCAACATATGGTTAAACAGGAGAAAATCTTCTGCAATATCGAACTTACCAAAAATGACGTCCTCCTCTTTAAGGTTATCAACAGAGACGTTATTATCGCGCAACCAGGACAAGACATGTTTCCAAAAACTAGATGATACTCTACAGGAAAAGAGTAAATGCTCTACGGATTCAACCTCTGTTTGGCAGAAAGCACAGGATGGCGACTCAGCCAAGCCGAAACGAAACAGTTTTTCGTTTGTAAAGACAATACGGTTTAAAATTTTAAACTGAAATTCTCTAAGTTTAGATTCTAATGTTGTGCGAAAAGGTAGCGAATAAACACTTTTCCAATCAATATCAATGTTTGAATACTTTGCAGCTAACGTTACTTTAGCAGGAAAAGCCGGTAGATTTGCTTTGAGGAAGCATCAAGAATTGGAACCAAATTGTTACTTATTAGGATAGCAGGTGAATCCGGAAGTGGATCAATCACCGGTGCAGTAGTTGCCCTTTTAATTGTCAAGCGCCAACTGGCAGGCATAGAGTTAAAAATACCCATAATGAAGAAACCTTGCTCTGGATTGAGATTTTCTTTAGTTGAAAATAAATCGCAAATTTTTAAAAACCCTAAATCTGCAATATCTCTACGATACACAGATTTCTTATTAATGCAGAGAAGCTTGTTATTCCAAATAACTTCATTTGCAATTTCATGTAGCAAGCTGGGTGTTTTTGCATTTACTTCTGACCACGCATCGAGACATTGCTTGTAGAAACTTGGTAAATAAATTCTTAATTTAGAAGTATCAAAATTACAATGCAATATGAGCTTCCCACCAACGGGGATAAGAACCTCATTTAAAAAAGCTTTCCACGGACTTTTATAGTCTTCCAAATACTTTTTCATACATATCACTCGTCTGGTACGAACCATAGAATCAATATCGAGCATATTTAAGCCACCCTTCTCAACTTCCGAAATCATTACATTTCGTTTTACTTTATCTATCCCATTCCAAATAAAATAGTAAAAAAGCGAGTCGGCCTCTTTGATAAGGTCTTTAGAAATTGGCAACACCGACGCTCTAAACATAAACTTAGGGATGGCAAAGGTTTTTACAATTTGTATTCTACCTAAGAGAGAAAGACCACGCCATTTCCACAAATTGATCGTCTTCTTAAGTGATTTCAAAGTATTCCTAAAATTCAATTCATCTCTTTGTTTAGCGTCATAGCCAAAGTAGACGCCTAGAATTTTAATAGTGTCACAAAGATTAGGCATATCAGAATACCCCTCCCAAAGAGAACTACTATTTCCTAAAGCTAAGGCTTCGGTTTTTTCATTATTTATTTTTAAACCAGAACATTCACCAAAAGTCTTCAGCGTAACGAATAGGTTTGTATATGAACTACTATCTTTGATAAAGCAGGTCATGTCATCAGCGAAAAGGGAAAGTTTAACAGGTTCATCTCGTATCGTAATGCCCTTAATGCCATCATCTTCTCTTATCTTTATAGCTAAGGTCTCCAAAGCTATTATGAACAGGTAGGGAGAGAGGGGATCTCCCTGCCTTACTCCCCTACTTAGTGCAAAAGGTCCTGTTGTAAAACCATTGTTCATTACACAGCTAGAGGCGTTGTTATATAAGACCCGTATCCACTGAATAAAAGAAGTTAAAAAGTTAAATGCATGTAATACTCTTAAAAGAAAATTTAAATTGAGCGAGTCGAAAGCTTTTTCAAAGTCTATAGCTACTAGAATCCCAGGTATATCTTTGTACCTAGCATATTCAATCACATCATCGATCGTTCTGACGGCATCAAAAATTGTTCTCCCCTTTACAAACGCGTTTTGATTAAAATGAATTACTTCAGGAAGCACCTTTTCCAAACGCTTTGCCAAAGTTTTAGACGCCAATTTAGCATCAACATTTACAAGAGATATTGGACGCCAATTCTTCACCAACCTTTTGTCTTTTCCTTTCTTTTCAATTAAGGTGATAACGGCCTGTTTCTGTGAGTTCGATAGTTCACCGTATTCGAAAGCATAGTTCAAACTATCAACTACCAACTTTCCAAGCAAGGGCCAAAAGGCTAAGTAAAACTCGGCTGTTAAACCGTCGTTCCCTGGCGATTTATTCTTTTGGAAGGTCTGTAATACATTATAGCATTCATCATATCTAAGGATACCCTCGCAAACGTTCCTCTTCTCCTCGGCTAAAAATGGAACATCGGTGAGATCATTTATAAACGAAGAAATTGTCTGCGCGTCTGCGGAATTTCTACCATCATAGAGATTAGAATAATATGATTCCAATTCATTCATAATCTTTTTTGGGTCGCTAGTTAATTCTCCAACAGTTGTTAAGATTTTGCGGACACTGTTTTTAGTTTTGTTTGAATTTTCTAAATTCAAAAAATATTTGTTGTTTTTTTCACCCATTTCATACCAGGTTGCCCTAGAGCGAATGATTGCCCCTTGTGTAATGTAATCGTACAATTGATCATATTCTGTTTGAAGGCAATCCAGTTCCTCGAGATTTCCACTATTTGGATCAATATCACATTTTTCTGTACATTCCTTCAGCTTATCTTCTACCTTTTGTAGTTTTGTTCTTCTTTCACGGGCTTTACCTTTACTGTATGTAATTGTTTGCTGTCTTATTTTGTATTTAATTAAATCCCATAAAACACGCTTATCCTGAACCTCTTTAAATTCCTCTAACCAATTCACATATTCAGTGGTTAAAAGTTCACAGTAGTCCGAGTCATTTACTAAGTTCGAATTGAATTTCCAGAAATTCGGTCCTCTCTCAGTTTCATCTAAGCCGCAAATTGAAAGGGTTATTGCCGAATGGTCAGTTTTTATTGATGTTTTAATCTCCGCTGAAATTATCTCATCTTGCAAACTGTCGCTTATAAGCCAAAAATCTAAACGCCTCTGCACAACCGAAGTTTTTTGACGCCAAGTAAATCGTGATGTAGTGGGGTTCCTAATACGCCAGATATCAACCAGATCGAAATCGAGGTGCATATCTTCAACTAATATTGCGGAGTCTTTCTTTCTGTTGTTTCCGCCCCGTCCATCTAAGTCAGGGTCAAGTATGACGTTAAAATCGCCTCCGACGATAATTGGGTAATCCTGTTCTGTTCTAGCCGCTTTCAAAATTTCTGATATTTCTTTAAAAAGGTACATTGTTCACTACATTTGTTTGGAGCGTATATATTTTAAAAGAAAGTATGGTGAATCCTGAATGGAAACCTCTAAGAAAATATAGCGACCTTGAGAATCAACCTTGATAGATCGCATTTGAAAGTCTAAGTTATCCCTTACCAGTACAAGTACACCTCGACTATGGCTACTATCGTGCGAAAAGAACATGTTTCCTTTCCACTGTTTTCTCCAGATATTTTCGACTTCTTGAGTACTGTAGGTTTCTTGCAGAAAACAAATATCGGCTCCAGAATTTAAAAGCCAGCTAAAATTGCTTTCCGCTTTTCAAAAGTACGAATCCCTCGAGCATTTAGTGACAAAAGGCTAAAATCAACGTTACTACGCCCTACTTCGCCAAAGGGAAAAACAACTTCATTAGGTGGGAAAAGTTAAGCGTCAGTTTGGCACCTTCAAACTTTAAAGAATATATCCTCATTAACGCGCCAGAATAGCTTTGAAAAACATAGTAAAAGCAAAGCAGAACATCTACAAAAGCAAAAACGAAAAAATTACATTTCAACGAGATACTGAAAAACACAAAACTTAAAAGAGCAGCAAGATAAATATCCTTAACGCTGCCCTTGAGGATGGAACTAATTAAATAATTCGACATCTCTCCTAGAGTTTTTTTTGCTGCATGGTTATAATATACAATAACCAAACGATAACACCTTACAGCCTTGCTATAACAAATAAAGATCACAGATAAAATAACCCTTACGCAGAAATAAACTTGCCATCAATAAAGAGTTTATCCGGTTCCGATTTACTAAAGGATACTTTTTGGCCCCTTTTTTTAGCTTCCTTTAATTTAGGCATTTGTTTGCGCCTTCTCTCTATGATTTCCTGAGGGAAGTCTTGCAAAATCATATACTCAGTGCCTTTCAATTCAAACCCAGCGCGAAGCACTGTCTCGCGATCTTGATAGCGTAAAAAACGGGCTAATATCGGCCTGGGCTTTCCACGTACGGATTTACCGATCCGATGCACTCGTTGAAACTCCATATTCCTCTTTGGATCCCCAAAGCCAAGGACATCATGAAGAAACTCACTCAATTGCATCGAGTTTCTCCAGTTTCTTAAGTTCCTCAAGAATTTTATCGAGTTTTTCACTAACGTTACCGGCCATGTTTAAGGCTTGGAGAACCTCGTCTTCCTCGGCTAAACTCTTTGAACGCTTTTCCTGCGGAGAACTTGACTCAGACGAATCTGAATTGCTTCTCTCTGATATTGTACGTTTCAAAGAAGAAAGGATGGATTCCATATACAAGAAATGCAGGCTGCCAGAAAATTAACTCAATAACCAGAGCGGAGCTCTCGAAAACACGTCTACTCGCTACGCATGCCAGCCCCAGTCCCCCATGACGTAATGGTCTGCCCAG